CTGCATCACGTAGGTTCATAGGTAAGATTAGGTAGAGTATAAATAACGGGAATATTGCAAGTAGTTGGCATTGCTATAGATTTCTAAATTTTTAGCTGCATCTGACTATGGATATTGTTAGCTTAATATATTCTTAAGGATGGTACTTCTGTGCAACTAAATGTTCAAGTAGGTAAATACTTAAACGGAAATTTTTGCATGTCTTTGGATATAAAATCGGGTTGCATGTCTTTGAATTTCAGAACGTCTGTGAAGTAGCTAAGTTGAATTTTAAATGGACATGGAATTTATCTTACTGGGCTCGAACGCCGGGCCTAAAAAGCTGCCTGCAGCTTTCAAGTCAAGGTACCTTTTAGCCCAGGCCCACGATTGGCCTGTCCTGTGGGCACACCTAATAAATGGCCCTTTACATGGGTTGCATTCTAGGCCCAGAACAACTTGATCCACTTTAAATTGGCCTTTAAACAACAAATGAGAGGAGCCTCGCTAAACGAAACATAGATAAATTGCGGGGCCCTCGATAAATATTTTTTTTACTGAAATACTTAGCCCTCGGGACGTGCCATTTAGTGAATTTCATGGCTTCCCCAAAGTTAATAATACGCTAGTGGTTGTAAGCTCGACATTTAATAATATTACCTTCCTAAACTCGGGTGCACATTTATGTGACCCAACTCCAAATCCCAGCGGAGTCGAAATGTGTTAACAATCACGGGTGCACTGGTGCGGCGTGGTTTGAGGCGCATTTTCACGACGTTGCAATTCGTTTAAAAATCAAATAAATAAAAATAAAAGCGGTTTACTAATAAAAGCACATAAGCTAGAACATATTTCAAAATCAGATAAAATCAAATACAACAGTTGAGCGACCGTGCTAGAACTACGGAACCCGGGAATGCCTAACACCTTCTCCCAGCTTAACAGAATTCCTTACCCGGATTTTTGGTTCGCTGACTGTTAACAGAGTCATAATTTCCTCGGTTCGGGATTCAACCGGTGACTTGGGACACCATTAACCTCCCAAGTGGCGACTCTGGATTTTAATAATAAATCCCGTTCCGGTTGTCCTTTAAGTGGAAAAACTCCTATACACCCTTTGCGGGGTGTAGTAAATAAAAAGGAGGTGTGACAGCTCTGGCGACTCTGCTGGGGAGCAAGAACCCAGAATCTCTGGTTCAGGGTTCAGAATTCGAGCTTAGATATATTGTTGTATTTGGCTTTATCTGATTTTCCTTCATGTTTCATGCTAAATGTGCAAAATGTTGCTTTTTACCGCTTCGATATTATCTGAATTGTATATAAACTGTGCCGAAACCTTTCTCTTCTCACCTCCGGGGATGTGCTTACTGGTTGAGACTCCCTATTCTGTTAGTGTCAATACCCTGAAATAAGAAAGAGGTCGGACAAGTTACTAAGGCGGATGGCCTTTTGGTTCCCGGTACGTAGCCCCCTCCTCGACTCGAGTTGTCCGCTCGGGTACACAGTCTAGAACACATACCCAGGTTTTGAACCTAGAAGAACTTGACTTCATGCCGTATCCCTAGTAGGAACGCTTATCTGCATCACGTGCATTTTGACTTAGGGGACTCAACACAGGGGTTGGGTCCGTCTAGGACAGGTGTACCCGAAAAAATGGACCATCCTGATGCATACTACTTGTGCATTTATCTGTTTTGGACTCGCATGCTGACCGGCTTTGAATATCTGGGCAATGTTGAATAAAAGAGAGAGAAAAAGAGAAGTAGCAGTGGGGAGAATTAACTACCTATACCAGAAAAAACCAATGGCCAAGTAGTGCCGAAATGCTGCCGGATTTTTGAAATTGAAAAAAAAAAAGAAAAGTAGTTTGTCTTGTTTGCCAATGGAAAAGAAAAACAAAAAGAGTTTTGTTTTCAAATTAGTTCGTTTTATTCGCCACTAAAAAAGAAAATATAAAAAGAATCTTGCTTTCAGAAAAGTGAATTTGCCAACAAAAACAACAAAAAAAAAGAGGTTATTTTTTTTCAAATTAGGGGTGTTTTCAAAATAGTTAGATTTATTTGCCCGAACTACGCAGGTTTGATTCTCACTGGATGTGAGATACGTAGGCAACCCTCATCGGGTCCAACCACCCTTTTGCAAAAATAGCCAAAAAATGTCAATCTTTATTTTTGTCATAAATAAATCAGGGGGTGCCGTTTTGTCAAAAATAGCCGAATGTCCCCAAACAGGCACCGGAAGGTTGTTTGTGCAAAAATGGCCATCTTGAGTCATTTCCCAACGGTCAACGGGTACAGCCTTAAAATCTTCTCCCCGAAGTGCTGAAAGGCCGTAACTGCAAAACCGGCCGTTTGTTTTAAATTGGAAATTTGAACGAAAATAGTGTTATTTGTTTTTTTTTAGGTCAAATAAGTTATTAAATCACCTTAATAAATGTGCAGGATGAGCACGACTCAAAATGAACCCTTTTCAATCATGCATAAAGTCCCTTTGGAGTTGCGTCTATGGTGGAACGATTTGGGCAAAGAAGGGCAAGATGCGGTCAAGAAACATTTGAAAGGGCTTACCGGTTTGCTTGATATTGCGCCTCGGGGAGATATTATTAGAGCACTGGTTACATGTTGGGACCCAGCACATAATGTGTTCCATTTTTCGGATTTTGAGCTTACCCCGACATTGGAGGAAATAGCCGGCTACATTGGAAAGGCTGAGGTTCCGTTGAGGCACAAATACTTGGTTGCTCCCAGAATTGTAGCTGTACACAAGTTTTTAGACTCCTTGAAAATAGTCAGGGCCATCCATAACACAGACCTGGCGAATGGCTTTTGTACTCTAAGCTTCATATATCATCGCTATGGTCATATCGGGGGGTTCAACAACCCAGAAAGTAAGATATGTAGCAAAGGAAACCGCCAGAAGTGGGAGGAGCATCGATGTTTCGCTTTTATGGTAGCTTTCTTGGGGATTTTAATATTTCCAAGGAAGGATGGGAACATTGACATAAAAATAGCTGGGGTTGTCAGTACATTAATCACTCAAGCCAAAAGTACACTTGCACCTATGATATTGGCCGACATCTTCCGTGCACTTACAGCTTGTAAAGCCGGAGAAACTTTCTTCGAGGGGTGCAACTTATTATTACAAATGTGGATGATTGAGCATCTGTATCATCGCCCTCAGTTTCTGAGTTATGGGTCTCCAGAAAAAACATGCATAGAAGAATTTTACACAAGAACTAAAGGGGTCAAATTGCCAGAAGGGGTCACGGGTTGGACAACATATTTTCGGTCCCTCACTGCTAGCCAAATAGAGTGGACACTGGGATGGTTACCTGTTGATGAAGTCGTATATATGCCGGCAGCCCGACCACATTTTCTTCTGATGGGGCTTAGAAGCATTCAGCCTTACGCACCGTATCGAGTGTTGAGGCAACTGGGGAGATGCCAGNCTCAAGCTTATGGAAATGAAGTAAAATGCTGTTTGAGCTGTTCTTTGGATCCATTTCGCCTCTGTTTTAGCTTTAATGTGTAGAATAGTCATGTTCCCCTGAAATTATGCGTTGTCTGTTAATTGGAACAATTCTGGACTGTAAGGGGACTGCTTGGACTGTTTTTGATTGATTACCAGTGTCATCTGTTAGTTGATTGGCTGTAATAGCTAAATTGAAGTTAGTTTCATGTTAGTTGTTAGATGAAATGGGAGCTGATTGTTCTGCTGTGTCTGCATCACGTAGGTTCATAGGTTAGATTAGGTAGAGTATAAATAACGGGAATATTGCAAGTAGTTGGCATTGCTATAGATTTCTAAATTTTTAGCTGCATTTGACTATGGATATTGTTAGCTTAATATATTCTTAAGGATGGTACTTCTGTGCAACTAAATGTTCAAGTAGGTAAATACTTAAACGGAAATTTTTGCATGTCTTTGGATATAAAATCGGGTTGCATGTCTTTGAATTTCAGAACGTCTGTGAAGTAGCTAAGTTGAATTTTAAATGGACATGGAATTTATCTTACTGGGCTCGAACGCCGGGCCTAAAAAGCTGCCTGCAGCTTTCAAGTCAAGGTACCTTTTAGCCCAGTCCGTGGGCACACCTAATAAATGGCCCTTTACATGGGTTGCATTCCAGGCCCAGAACAACTTGATCCACTTTAAATTGGCCTTTAAACAACAAATGAGAGGAGCCTCGCTAAACGAAACATAGATAAATTGCGGGGCCCTCGATAAATATTTTTTTTTACTGAAATACTTAGCCCTCGGGACGTGCCATTTAGTGAATTTCATGGCTTCCCCAAAGTTAATAATACGCTAGTGGTTGTAAGCTCGGCATTTAATAATATTACCTTCCTAAACTCGGGTGCACATTTATGTGACCCAACTCCAAATCCCAGCGGAGTCGAAATGTGTTAACAATCACGGGTGCACTGGTGCGGCATGGTTTGAGGCGCATTTTCACGACGTTGCAATTCGTTTAAAAATCAAATAAATAAAAATAAAAGCGGTTTACTAATAAAAGCACATAAGCTAGAACATATTTGAGTCTCATGTCCTAACGACTGCTCTTCGCGAACGCGTGAATTAGTACGCTAACGCGAAGAGTGAAAAGGCATAACTACGCGAAAGCATGGAAGGAACGCAAACGCGATGAGGGAAAAGACTGACCTTCGCGAACACGGGATGTTGAACGCGAACGCGAAAGGCTGTCCGCGATCGCGAAGAAGAACACCAGAAAGCGGAAAATAGTAGTTCAAATATGGGAGGAATTGACCCGTAGCCCACTCGGAACACACTCGAGGCCTCCGGGACCCTGTTTAAACATCCAAACAAGTCCTATAACCTAACATGGACTCACTCGAGGTCTCAAATTACATCAAACAACGCCGAAACGACGAATCACTCCATCAGTCGAACTTATGAACCTTCCAATCTTCCAACTTCCAAAACTCGTGCCGAAACCTATCAAACCAAGCCGGAATGACGCCAAATTTTGCAGACAAGTCCCAAATGACATAACGGAGCTGTTCCAACTCTCGAAAATGCATTTCGACCCTGATATCACAAAAGTCAACTACAGACTTCCAAATCCAAATACGGACGTACGTCTAAGTCCAAAATTACCACCCGAGTCTATCGGAACCATCGAAACTCCAATCCGAGGTCAAATACTCAAAAGTCAAATCTTGGTCAATTCTTTCAACTTCAAGCTTCTCAAATGAAAGTTACTTCTAAAAATCCTTTCCGAACTTCTCAAAAACCCGAACCGATGATGCACGCAAGTCATAATACACTGTGTGAAGCTACTCATGACCTCAAACTATCGAACCGGAAATAATTGCTCAAAACGACCAGTCAGGTCGTTACAAAATTAAAAAGGAAACTTATTATATGTAAAATTGTAAATTCATTTTATATGCAAACATAGTAAGAAGAAACAACAGGTATAGTTGATTGCAAAACCCACTCTAGATCCGTCTTTTGTGTTTTAGGAAATGCCCGACTTTTGTCTTGCCATCACAATAAAATCATAGACTCTGTCAGGGTCAGCAAGAGCTTTGAGACACTCTCCTTTTGCATACATTTTTTTGCCCATTCTACAAACTTAGGACACTCTGCTTCTATGCCAAAGTTGCCAAAGTTGCCAAATTTCTCATATGCAGGGAACCAGCTATAGTAAGGAATAAGGGTTATATCCAAAAATCCAAAACTTTCTCCTCCGAAGTATGTCTTGTCTCCTAATTCCCCTTCCAACGTTTTCAGGCACTCTATAAATTCTTTATTGGCTGCTTCTTGGTCCTCCCCTTTTGATGTCCACATTACTCTCATAAATCTGCATCCTCCCAAACAAGGAAAAAAGATTAAATATTTTCAATCAAATAGCTCATAAAAATATAACCCTCTAAAATTCCTATGTGCATATGTTTGGATGATATTGTTTGGACGTATATATTCATTAGCGGGTCACTTAAACATGAGCCAAGTTAGCGCATCTAATACCTTGGACCAACCAAATTGACTTATGAAAAGAAATTGTTAAATCACACAAAAAATAATATTTTTGGTTATGGTTAGTTAGATATAGGCATGATGAATAAAAATGAGTTCCTTATACTATTTTAATTTGATAATTGAACAAATAAAAAGGGAAAAAAAATAACAAATGAAAAATGATGTTGATCAATCAAATTGATATATCCATCTTGACGAATCAATTTTTTTATAGCTATTACTTTGTATGTTTACTGATTCTTCTGATTTAGTCCAGCTCGCCCATTTGATCCAATAAATAATATTAAAATAAAAAAAATTTACCCGCACCCGGGATATACACCAAGCCAATAATTAAATGACACTTGTCACCTTATTTAATTATAAACTAGTAGTATTTAACCGTAGTATTTAACCATAGTTAACTCCATCTAATTTTTACATAATAATAATAATAATAATAATAATAATAATAATAATAATAATAATAATAATAATAATAATAATAATAATAATAATAATAATCTTTAATGTTTTCAAGCTAATCTGTTGTTCCACGGCAAATATCGTAAGGGAAAAAATCAAGGCCAATAAATTTCTCATTAACCACCCAAATTCTCCTCCTTTCTTAAATAAATTTTTGCTGCAAATACATACTCATTGATTTTTCCAGGATCTTATTGAGCCAAAAATATATTAGCTTTCACCTTTCCACACTAACGTATAGTAGATCATTCAACTCATCTTTAACATAAAATTTGCTATAAAATCACAAAACTAATCACAATTTAAGGCATTCAACAAGGCAGCCTACAATATAATTGTTCTATTGTTGTTACGCCTCGCAATATTACGTCGATATTACGTCCCGCGGTATTATATTACAATGATGTTACGTCTTGCAGTATTATATTACGATGATGTTACGCCTTGCAGTATTACATAACGATGATGTTACGCTTTGCAGTATTGAATTACGACGATGTTGCAGCCTGTAGTATTGTACGTTGAATTTTTCGTAAGGTAATTGACATCAGTCCAAGGAAAAGATTATTTGGAGAATATAAGGATTATGCTATTTCAAACAAGTAATGAGTAAATTCGTGAAGGTGAGAGGGGAAGCAAGTCAAAGAAAATGAATTTTCGTCCAAGTTTGGCATGTTGGGATAAAATACGGCCCGAGCTAAAATACTCGGTATTTATGGGCTAGTGCCATACAAGGTACCATATGACCATGATAGTAAGGTGTATAAGGTATGTGAAAAGTGAGTAATATTTTAAGTATTTTGAGGTAATTCTTAATTATGCGGGGGATTGTTTAATTATTGGATAATGGGATATTACCCAATTAATTAAGGAATTAATTATTGGATAATGGAATTCTTAATAATGGGATATCACTCATCAATTATATTGCATGAGGTGGCATCCCCCTTGCAAATTGAAATGACTCATGTTATAATAAGAACGGTGGCATCTAAAGTGCCATAGGTATGACACTTACGTATAAATCTACCAAGGCATAAAGGTTTGGATTGTGGTCTTCTTTAGCCTTAATTTAATCAAAGTAAGCTTATAAGCTTCCATGCTAAGTCCAAGCCTTTTCAAGAACGGAAGGAAATCTCACTCCAACAAGACCGAATATTGATCTTGAAACAAAACAATTCCAACAAGATTTCTTAGCACCGTAGCAACGTGATATTTTGCGATTATAAAGGAATACGGTGCAAAATTTTCAAAGAATATCATACAAATTTTTCGCTACTCCATGTATGTTAAGGCTATTCCTTCTTTCTTTTTGGTATGATCCATACGATACGAACGAAACGAGCAAATGCACAATTTCCATAAATGACTCTATTCATAGAAATATTTGAGATGCTTATGTTCTTGATTCCCCATGTGTGATATTATTCTATCATCTGTTCATGGGTCTCAGAAAATACGTAAGTTGATAAAGTTTACTTTAAGGTATTATTCAAAGGCAAAATGGTCTTATGACACTCCGAAAGATTTTATTGACGTACTTCTCATGAATTGCATTCATGTACATTGACCCACGACCAGATGGCGTTATATACGCGTATATATATATATATATATATATATATATATATATATATATATATATATATATATATATATATATATATATGGGATATGGGAAACGGTTACGGCGTTATATGCGCACCACTGATGATTTGCCCACAATGGCTGAAATGTTATGATGGGATGCCCTCAGAGGCTTGATGATGTTATGAACGCATATACCCAAGCATGGTATGACATTTATACGCATATGCATGATATAAAAATGAAATGATTCACACAGCTATGCAAAAGTACATCTCGAGTCTTTTACTCCATGTTTCTCTCATGTCTATTGTTTACTGATTTTCATTACTTACATACTCGGTACATTATTTCTACTTACGTCCCTTTTGCCTGGGGACGCTGCATTTCATGCCCGCAGGTCCCGATAGACAGGTCGAGAGCCCTCCAAGTAGGCTGTCAGCTCAGCGAAAGATGTTGGTGCGCTCCATTTGCTTCGGAGTTGCTTGTTTGGTTAGTATGATTTAGATGTGTATTGTTTAGTATGGCAGGACTCTGTCCCGACCTTTATGAAAATTATGTATTCTTAAAGGCTTGTAGACATATGTCATGTACGTAAAAGATTGTATGGCCTTGTCCGCCTATGTTCAGTGTACGAATGATCATTTTGGCCTTATAGGACCGTAAGTCATATGTATAAGTTTTTATATCAGGTTGGGTCCTCCTATATTGAGTATTCCCTTATGTTTGTTCTGGTTAGCCCATGTCGGCCCGTTTGGCCCATATGCCAATGAGAGTACGTGTGACGACCTGGCCGGTCGTCTCATGAGTTACCGCTCCGTTTTCCTCTTTTCTGCTTCTTTATGTATTGTTTATTTCGAGGTATTGGGTTGGTTGGATTGAATCCGGAATGGTTTTGGTGAAGTTTGAGACACTTAGTCTCTTTTAAGAAGGGTGAGGTAGAAAAGTCAATCGGGCATTGACTTATGTGTTAGAGGGTCCGGATGTGAGTTTCGATAGTTTGATTAGCTTCGGGAGGTGATTTATGACTTAGGAGTGTGATCGGAATGGGTTTTGGAGGTCCGGAGTAGAATTAGGCTTGAATTGGCAAAGTTGAGATTTTGGCGATTTCCGGTTGGTAGGTGAGATTTTGATCCAGGGGTCGGAATAAAATTCCGAGAGTTGAAGTAGCTTCGTTATGTCATTTTGGATGTGTGTGCAAAATTTCAGGTCATTCGGATGTGGTTTGGCTGGGTTTTTTTTTTATCAAAAGTGTATTTCGGAAGGTTTTAGAAAACTTAGGCTTGAATTCGATGTGTTTGGGTGATTTGATGTTGTTTGAGGTGTTTTGATGATTGGAACAAGTTTGAATAAGGTTTTAGCAGGTGTTGTTGCCATTGGTTGAGGTCCCGGGGGCCTCGGGTGAGTTTCGGGTGGTCAATCGGACCATTTTGGAGTTGGAGAAATTGCAGAAAAATCTGCCCAGCAGTTGCAGGTATTTTGTTCTTCGCGTTCGCGAGTGGCACCTCGCGTTCGCGTAGAAGGAATTGAGGAAGGACAGAATTAGCCTTCCCGTTCGCGTGATGGGCTCCGCGTTCGCGGAAGGCTGGGTAGCAGTGCAACGCGTTCGCGAGATGGCCATCGCGATCGCGTAGAGTATTTTGGTGTCTGAGGGGTTCGAGGTCTTTTGCTCAGCGCGTTCGCGTAAGGTGTATCGCGTCCGCAAAGGTGTAGGAGGAGGAAGCATCGCGTTCGCGGTAGGTGCTACGCGTTCGCGAAGAGGAATTTTTGGTCAAAGTAAGTTTGTGCTACGCGAACGCGAGAGGTTGACCGCGTTCGCGAAGAAGGGGAAGTCAGGCCTGGGCAGAATGTTTTAAGTCGTTTCAGTCGCGATTTTGGGTCTATTTTCACCCATAGTTGATCATTTTGAGAGCTTCTTGGTGGATATTAATGAGGGATTCAAGGATAAACGTTTGGAGGTAAGAATTTCGGACCTAAAACTTGATTATATTGTGAAATCTACCTAGAAATTCATGGGAACTTGAACTAAAAATGGAAGAACTAGGGCTTCGAATTTTGGAATTTTGATTTGGGATTTGAAGGGTCATTTGTGGACGGATTTTGAAGTTTTTGGTATGTATGATGTGGGGAGATAAGGAACCTATTGGTGTAAAAATTTTTGAGTTTCGAGAAGTGGGCCCGGGGCTCGGGTTTTGCTCATTCGGGATTTTTAGTATTTTTCGATTGTTTTCGCTTGGGTCTTGTTCCCTTAGAATATTGTGACGTATTCGTTCTGCTTTTGGATAGATTCGGTGCACGTGGAGGCCAATTCGAAGGGCAAAGGCGTCGCGAGCTAGGAATTTACCCGGTTCGAGGTGAGTAATGCTTGTAAATAATGTTCTGAGGGTTTGAAACCCCGAATTGCACATCGTAGTGTTATGCTGAGGTGAGACACACGCCTGTTGACGAGCATGGGGTCGTACACTGTTGGGGATTGTGAATTGGTCCGTCCGGTTGATGATTTTATAGCGTATTTGACTGAATCTTATTTGTTATCACTATGATTTGGGATGAATGCCTTATTTGGGCTTCGTGCCAATTATTTGAATCCTTTGGAGCCTTTTCTTGATATTTCCTCACTGTTTGAAATTATTACATGAACTCAGTCATGTATTTTCCGCCGTTTTACTACTCAGCCGGTTTTTACTCTGTTTTGAGACTTAAATAATATTTTAAACGATGTTTTGGGCTGAGACACACTGTTTTACTATTGCCCG